TTAATTATCGCACGATTTTTCTTTGATAATATATTTGTTATAAAAACTCTAATATACTAAAATAAAATTGACATTTTATGTACTGTTATAATATAATATTATAACAATATATAAACTTACATATTAGGTGTGGGAAAAAGTTCGTGGCGTTTTTCCCGTTACAGCTAAACGGAAAAAATGCCACGAACTTTTTCCTACACTTAATACAATATATAAACTTTTACTACTCATTATAGGTGCAGAAAAAAATCGAACAGTATAACAAGTTAGGATATAACAAATTTCCGATATGTATGGCAAAAACATCAAATTCGTTAACTGGAGATCCAGCTATCAAAGGTGCACCAACCGGTTTCATCCTCGACATTACAGATATATTCGTTTCAACCGGCGCTGGATTTATTGTTCCTATGGTGGGAGAGGTGAATGATTTTTTCAACTATGCAATTAATAATAAAAAGATTTTTATTATTAATTTTTATTATTAAAGATTTATTAAGTAATTTTCACTATTATTTCATTATATATTTCAGATTATGATGATGCCAGGACTTTCGACTAGACCAAGTATTTATGATATGGATTGGAATACCGAAACAGATGAAATAGAAGGCCTGTTTTAAATTTAATATCTATTTTGTAACTAAATTAAATGTTTATTTTTCAACGAACATTTCGTAGTATATAATGTTAATAATTCCTCAGAGAGTTTATAATATATCAATACATAATCATTAATAAACTTTTTTGTACAAGAAACTACATTATTATTTATGTACAATATGGTAATACATCCTGTTAAAATAGATTGTATACACATTACAAGTATACCATTTCAACAAATTTGTAACATTGATAAAAAAAAATGCGAATTATTACAAGTTTTAATACACTGTACATATTTATTTTACTTTCATAATAGCACGCAATTTCGCGGATCGCGATCTCGGATTTGTTTCAATTTCTTCAGCAGTAGGTGTCAAAACATGCTTATGTATCATTTTCCATGGTATTTTTGTCAATCTTTCAAATTCGTTCTTATCAAATGTTTTACCATAATGCGCATATTTTAATGCCACGGTATTAGCTACATTATCTGTTATGTTTCCAGAAATATGTCTTTTAACTATAGTATCTTCAAGTGAATGAAATGAAATCGTTATTAAACAACCAGATAGTTTCAAGTATACTTGTGCGAGAAGTATACCGTAATTGATTTCATTTAATTCATTATTGACAAAAATTCTAAGTGCTTGAAACGTTTTCGTGGCATTATGTGAAAATCTGCCAAGACTATCTCTTCTAATTTCACCATCTAAAGTGGATTCAATTAGTTGAGCTAATTCTTTTGTCGTCTCTAATTTTCTAAACATGTATCTAGCGTCAATAATAGCACGTGCAATTTTCTTAGCACATTTCTCTTGTCCATAAACTTTTATGATATGAATCAAGTCTTCCTCTGTTGCTCTTTCTAATACATCCGCGGCAGTAAGTTGTTTTGGACATCGAAGCCCGTCCATTCTCATATCTAATGGTCCATCTTTTGATAAAGAGAAACCTCTACTCGCTGTATCAAATTGCATTGATGAACAACCAAAATCGAACAAAATACCATCTATACTACTTTCTTTAATGTTGTATGATTCAAGTAACTGCGGTAACTCAGAAAATTTACCTAACAAAGGAATTACTTGTCCTGGATATCTCTGTGATAATTGCTTTGCACATTCATATGCTAAAGGATCTCTATCTAATGCAAATATTTTTATATCAGGCGAATGTTCTAATAATTTGGTAGCATGTCCACCAGCACCAAATGTCATATCTATGTATGTTTTGCCTGGCGATGGAGCCATATATGTCAATACTTCTTGCGCCATAACAGGTACATGAAGATCTTTGTTAGAACAGATGTTATATTTACAACTATATTGCCTCACATTAATTAAACATAGTAAATTACTTTTTACTAATGTGTTTGTTTTATCAATAAAATGTTTATTCTTACCAAACTTATTTGCAAAGTATGTAAACTTAAGCCTTATCATTTCTTATAATATTTTTTAGTGTCCAACGAAGCCTATTAAATATTCCGTTATCCTCTCCTGACAAATACTTTCGTATTTCTTGAGTCAATGCCAAATTACAGTGCTCCCTACTCAATCCACTTGCAGTGCTTAACAAAGAGCGTTTATAAAGTTGTCCGTAATAATTCGATGAAATCTTTTTTAAACTTGAATAATATCGATTACACTGTTCAGAATTCGGTTGGTTTGTAGCTTCACCCTTTGAAAACGCAATTCTCAATTGGTCACGAATGTGCTGTCCCAAGTCGCTAAAAATCATCAAATAGACAGAAAATAGAGAAAAATATTAACGAGTAGCAAAAGTTAATAGTATAGTAAATTAAATATTTTCTTTATAAATAATCAATCCAAGAGTTACACGTAATAAATTATTATAACCTATAACTAATAATACATATCAAGTAAATATTGATATATTGTCAGTAACTAGTGATAATGACCATTGCATTTAAAATAATTAAATGTACGATATTTTGTCTGGCATAATTACCTGCCAGCTTTGCTTTTATCTAACGGCCACGATTCCAAAAGTTTCATAAAATTTTTATAACTTCCAGCCATGACGATAGAGAAACCTCCTAAGCTCCTAAGCTAAGATATATATAATATTATCGCATATGGTAATAAAAATTTTCACTGTAACTTACCGATCATTTTACATTTTAGAATGACAAATTTACTTACAGTGAATAAGTTGAATCCCTACAATACGAGGAACACTTAAGGCAGAAGGAAACCATGAAAGAAGATACGACAGCCCAAAACCTACAACTGCAAATGCTGCCGCGCACAACTGCCCTCTGACAAAGTGAATGTAAACTACATAGCAACGTTCACTTTTCTTATAGCGATTTCGACTGGGATGCACTAGCATGCACTAATGCATATAAAGACCGTTGTACAATGAAATAGCGATTTCGGCTGGGGTGCACATAAAGCTGTCATACACAATTGTCATAAAAATGTATTAAAAACAGATTAAATCGTACAATCTCATATTAACAGTACAATATACATTATTGTACTGTTAATAAAACATATTTGATAATTTCCATTTCGTTTTTCCATTTGATTTTTTCATAGTGTTTTTTCATAATTTTTTCATAGTGATTTCGGCTGGGACGCACCGACTGCATATTTCGGGTGTCGGTGCAACTGGTGTGTTCAACTGATGCAATTCCTTATCAGTATGTGCGTCTGGTCTCCGTACAAGTGTACACAAAGTGGCCCCGACAAATTTGTTCGTTACCAGTTGATGTAATTGTTGGGCTTGATGTTTTCATGAGTCGCTGAAAAGCAGTGTGTGTGTGTGTGATCATGTGGTATTAATTTTATCACTAGTGTCTGATTTCGAGTGCGATTCACTTGATGCTACAAAGGCTTCGAAATTTTTATTTGACCAAATTGGAAGAAAGAATTTTATTTCGATCAATCAAAAAATACTTCGAAACATTCGTAGCAGCAAGTGGACCGCAGTTAGGCATAGCCTTCATCTGAAAATTGATATCCAACCTATAGCATCAATTTTGATTTTATGAGTGATTTATATGTACTCATGGAATTTTTGACATATCGTCAAATGACGATGACGAATTAATATTGACAGAATATTAAAAAAAGGCAGAGCGAAAATAAAAAATTACATTGAAGAAGTTGTGCGAAAAATATCCGATGAAATAGTGAGTTTTTTTAAATTAAAATTATATATTAAGTAATATTAAAACTATATAGTAATATAATATTTAATATTATAATATAATATAATATTTAATATTTATGTTTTTATTATGTATTTACATTATATTTATTCGTACTACTCAAAAAGGGAGCCATCACAATAAAATCGGGGTAAACATGGCCGTTTGTATTCCAAAAAAGCACAAAGAAGAAAGTGAAAATTAGAGAGAGACTCACAGGGAGAAAGTGACAAATTGTATCATGTAACTCGTCTTCTTTGATTGGATATAGGCATCAAAGCTTCAAAGACATGGAAGAGATTGGAGAAAACTGGTTACCCCGTAATATCCTGATTGGACATGATGTAATCACGTGATGCAATTTGCCACACTCTCCTTGTGCTTTCTAGTGAAAAATCGATCAAATCTCCAAACTGGATAGATTTCTCGAAAATCGTGAATGCAAATAGTCGAAAATGGCAAAACTTTCTTCAAATACTGGACGCCTACGACCATACCGCACGCGACCAGTATTATAGATCGGTAATAAGGTTCACATTTGAATTCGTATCACATTTGTATTCGCCTGAAACATACTGCCGTAAAAAGTATTAACAGTATATAATATGTCTTGATATGCACCAGTGCACATTGATATTTCCAGCCAAAATCGCTATTAGTTCGTATAATCGTGCTACATTCACAAACTGTGGATCGGAAATATTTATCTTATATGCATGTAATGTTTATTTTGTTTATGCGATTTTCAATGTAGATTAACTATAATCTCGGTTCAATTTATTCTTCGTCTTTTTCTAGTTCTAAAGAGAGTTAAAAAAAGAAGAAGAGAACTGAGATTAAAGTTAATTTACATTAGTGGAAACGGACATTAATGCCTGTTTTTAGTATTAAAAATAAAAAACAGAGTAACCCAGCAAACGAGAATGGATTAAAATGGATTGAAATTTTTTTCTATCCGAATGGATATTTTAAATAGCAAATATTTTTTTTTGGATTCAATTGAATTCAATTAGATGCAATTGGATTGAAAAACTGCATTTCTTATTCAAAATTTTGAATTGAACAGTATTCATAATTATGTTATTGTGCACAGAAAAAGCTAATATTATTTTTAGACTGAAAGGCATAGAGATATGCTCCATTCCTACAAATGAATAAAAATGCATTCAGGATTGAAAAGCATTCATTATAACATTCGTGAATCAATATTTCTGAAAATCTGAATCCATTTCAATTCATTTCAATCCATTCTCGTTTGTTGAGAATTAGCAAAAATGAGCTATAGAGGCCCTCCACTACCCCCGCCAATTTTATCGGCGGTCCTCTTTTCTTTGTAAAACAAACAAGCTATTAATAAATTTAGTAGCCCGTTTTTGCAGCAAACGAGAATGGATTGAAATGAATTGAAATGAATTCAGATTTTCAGAAATATTGATTCACGAATGTTAAAATGAATGCTTTTCAATCCTGAATATATTTTTATTCATTTGTAGAAATTGCATAGAGCATATCTCTATGCCTTTCAATTAAAAAATAATATTAGCTTTTCTGTGCATTGTGAATACTGTTCAATTCAAAATTTTGAATAGGAAATGCAGTTTCTCAATCCAATTGCATCCAATTAAATTTAATTGAATCCAAAAAAAACTATTCACTATTTAAAATACGCATTCGGATGAAAAATAAGAAAAAAATTTCAATCTATTTTAATTTATTCTCGTTTGCTGGGAGGTAAATTAATTTATTTTTTTGTTTTTATTCTAATTGTTTTATTGTATTTCGCTAATGAAATTGTAACTTTTTAAATATTATTCTTTATTGTATTATCTTTTATACAATTCGATATTACAATTATAATAATTATTTACAATACAATATACAATTATCAATGCTGTTCAAAATATAATCAAAATGATAATATAGGAACATAATTAACAAATTTTTGTAATGCGGAATTATACGAAAACGTCGAAAATACATACGATAATAATGAAATATTGATAAATGCAGAAGAAATACTGATAACAATTAGATTGTATTTACTATTAATTAAGTATTTATTAATAATTTTCGAATATAAAACTTAATAATATTGCGACAAAAAGTTATTAATATATAAAAGTCATTAATATATTTATAACAGCACTTTTATTGCGTTCAAGATAACTATCTCAATAATTTCATATCAAAATCCCTCCGCCTCATGATATGCTAATTAGATCCGATACAAAGAAGAACAATCTTCATAGTAAAAAACAAACTTAATGTATTCTGATTTGACATAAATTTTACAAGATCCATTTGCAAAGAAAAGTTAAGCAATCCGTCAAATGCTAGATCTTGTTACAGGATTGCGATGTGAATCCTGAATCTTTCGAACTATTTAGCGATAGTAATTTTGATAGCATATCAATTACAATTACAATTATTTTTATCATATCTTTATATATATAATATTAATATAATATTAATATTCGCGAGAAAATATGTTCTGCCACACGTGACTAAAAATCATCTCTTATTAAAAATAAACAGATAAAATGATTTCCTTATACAATAGTGGTTACGAAGGAATATATTTAATAATAATAAAATAAAATACATGCGTATTGTAATTTTTTATATGTATGGGTACAAAAGTTTCTCGAGTACCAACTGTTCGAGATGAGCCGAACCCGATAATAACGGGATTTTAAAGAACATTTATATTGAAAAATTTATTATATAAAATTTAACAATTTTTTATTTTTCAAAAATTACAATTATTAATATCCCGCTAATATGAGGGTACCCATTCGACTCATCTTGAATTTTTTGTATCCACACATTTAAAATTCAATTCATATAATCACGATAATATTGTTAACTATAAAGAATTTTGAAAAAAGTTATGTAAATATCGACAAAAATTAATATTCGTTCAACATAATCTCATAATATCTGCATGTATTTTATCATAAAAAAATGTATATACATATAAATTCATAATTAAAAATATTCTGCGGGATGTCCAATACCTAAAAATAATGGTAAAATAACAGTTAGAACATTAAATATATACATTCGTAACACATTTTTGTTAGAGCACTCATCGAAAAATTATAAGCAAATTATTTGTATAAAACTTAAATTTGTTTATTTAATAATTTGAATTTAAAAAAAATAATAATTATATATCCATATCAATCATATAACACGATAAATTTCTATTGTTATTAAGACAGTGTACTATTGTTAACATTATTATTACTAGTGGGAGAACATTTAATAAAACAAAGAAAGCGAAAATTATATACTAAAATTATATATTATAAAATTATATACACTGAATTAATGTTACAACTTGACTTTAAAATATATAGCAATAATCATTGACTCATTAACGAAAGTGTTACTACCAATAACTGCAGACGAGAAAACGAGATTAATTCCAATTCTGCATAAGAATCTCCGAAGAAACACTAAACTGGACTTCGCGAATGAACTTCACGAAAAACGACGAAGAATAATCCTCTATGATGAAAACAATTTCGACTTTCCATCGGTACAAACCACGTAATCACTTATCCATCTGACGCGAGAGACAGCGATATGAAATCTTTGCACATAATAAATTGTTCACTAAAATATACTTGTAATTTTATAATATTAAAAATGTAAAAGTCGAAAAGCAAGAGTTAATATTTAACCATTGCCAGTCAAAGCTCCAATCTTTATGACTTATTTAATAAATTTGTACTAAATACGGAGAAAAAAATGACGATTATTCTAAATATCAATTTTTAATAAGAAGTTACTTAAAATTATTAATGACTTATTGATATATCTAAATAAAAAAAAAGTTTTGAATTTAAATATTTATCAAACTTATTAAATCAATAAACAATTGTTGCTATTATATATTTCGTTGATTTCGTATAATTTACAATTTATTATCAATTTGGTTTACTACAACAAGATAAATGCTATTTGTATTGAATAGACATATAATATGGATATATTCCAGTAAATGTATAATTAATTAGTAACC